AAAAAAAAAAAAAACTTAATACTTATGAAAAAATAAAAGTTTCGTTTAACTTGTTTTTATTTATTTCTAGATTTTTTTTTTTTTTCGTTTTTATTCACATATGCATTACATTCTTTTGAGTACTTTTACACTCCACTTTCAATGTCTTTTGCATGATGAGGCCATAGAAATCCATCGTTTTTTTCTTTTTTAGGTGATAGAATGCACCATCATCGTGGGAATAGCAGCAATAATTCAACGATATCATCATCTGGTCATGGAGTATTTCTGGGAAGAGCAAGAGAAAAACGAGATAAATTATTGAAAACAGGACATCTTAATCAACAACGAAATGAAGCATCTGGAGGAGGGCAATCAAATAATCCTTCTCAATCAGCAGATGAATTTCGTTGTTATTATCGTCATCATCAAAGTTCTCGTAGACATAGTGTTGATAATACTCTATCATCAACAAGTTCAGTAGCTAGAACTATTCCAATAATTGAACATCCAATACCACGTACCTCAAGCCAAACAAGTCTTAATATTCATCGTGCAAGTCCTTGTCCATCGGATATCTCATTTTCTTACTCAAATCCAAAGTATTTTGTTCGAACAGCTATACTTCGTCCTTCACCAGCATTAGCAACTAAAACACCATTAAATTATGAAAATGTCATCGTAAGCGATTAAAATTCTTTCTGTTTTTCTTTTCACATTGTTCTTCTTTTTTTTTTTTTTGTCTATAAAAAATAAAGCAATCTCCATTATTGGAAGACAAACAACTATTAGGTATTAATCATGATGAATCAACATTTCGATCACCAACACCGGGACCAGATTTTTCTACTGTTCGTAGTGATTCAGTAACACTTGATGAATTAATCGATCGATTAACTCCAACGTCAACTAGTACGCCCGAAGTAAGAAATAAATAAATTTAAAAATAAAAAACAAAATGATCTCTTATCAAAATAATTCGTTTTTTTTTTCTTTGTCTTTCAGATAACATTTCTTTATCCAGCACTTCTTTGTTGTCGAACACATATTAGTCCATTACTATTATTTAATAAGATAGCAAAATCTACTTTTAGTAATTTGACACATTGTACTCAGGTATGAAATATTTCATTTCAAAGATAAACAAATAACATGTTATGGTTTTATTTTTCATTGATAGGAACAACGAACAAATTTACTTCTTAATTATCTTTCAATGTTAATACATTGGACAAAAACATTTTCATATGATTTTCGTACATCACCATTAATGAATCAACTTGAATGTATAACAAATCAAATTATTAAAATTGATCCAATGTTTGAACCAAATGTTAAATTACTTTTATCTGATATTATGGCAAAAGTATATTATAAAAGAAAAAAAAAAGTAGTCTAACTTAATGTTTTTTTATTTTTTCTTTGCATCTATAGCTCAATGTTCTTGATCGATATGAACAATATTTACAATTAATTGACAATGAAATAGCTAATCGTTTAACAACTTCTGCTTTAACAGTATGTTTTTATTTTTTGTTGTTATCTTTTTCTTTTTTTATTTGATTTCGATCTTTTTTTTTTCTATTGTTTAATTAGACTGACATTTATGAGCAATGTCCATGTCCAAAAGAATTTGCACATCAATTGACACATATTGAATTAGTATGTGTATATGCATATATAAAATAGAGTTTATAATTAATTAGAAAAACTATATATATATTTATTCTATTTTTAGGATAGACTTAAAGCAATTGGGGCAGAAGAATTTATTCATATGCGTTCATCCGATTCATCATCAGCGTCAGATTCTCATTCGACAAAATCTTCTTCTTCATCATCATTATCATCAAATCCTTGGACATATTGTCTTGAAGCATATATTAATTGGAGTAATCGTTTATCATCTTTTGTAACAACAGAAATTATTAAACATTTAAAACGACATATTCGTGTTAAACTTCTTAATTATTTTATTGATGCAGCACTTGAATGTTTTAATACAGGCAATTTTAATTCAATGATGGGAATTTTAGGTAGTTATATACATTGTTGATATTTTGTAAAAGATTCAATCTTTTGAGAAATTGAAATACTTTCTAATTGAAGAAAATTATAATTTCATAAAATCTAATAACTATAGCAATAAACAGAGTATCTTTAAATTTCGAAAAAAACAATTTTTTTGTTGTTGTTGGAATCCCTACAAAAAGGATAATAATCTTACGTTTATTATAAAGGAGAAAAGCTTAATTAAAGTTTATATACCCTACGAGATATGTATTTCAAGATGCAAAGAAAATATTGATTATAAAATATGTAATAAACTCATGTTTGACAATATAGATCTCATGAGAGAGAAAGAAAGCTTCGCATATATATTTCTAACTCCCGAGAGAGAACGAGCAATAAGAAACATCCAATCTTCATTAACATGTATGTTTAATTTCAAAAAAAAAAAAATCAAGAAAATCTATTTTTCCAAGGACATAATTCGTGTTGAATGTTTACCTTTTTGTTCTTCTTTAAGGGGGGCCCCCCCCCTCAGAAACCAACTTTTAGGGCCCCCCCCCCTCAGAAACGAATTCTGTTATTTTTCATCCGATTTCAACCAAAATTTCAGAGAATGTTAGTCTAGGATAGGGGAGATTATGGTTAAAATATCTCTCCAAATCTCCAATAAACTAATGAGTTATAGTCAATTTATTGGTCAAAAGTACCTTGTACGCGGGCAAGGATTTCACAATAAGGACACGAGCTAACAAGCCCGGGTGGTTTTCAAGTTATAGAGTGCCCTTAGGGCTAGATCCTCACAAGGCCCGATTTTTGAATTTCACTTTTTGTGAAATAAAAAAATTAGATATTTATTTTTTAGTAGCAATTTTTTGGGCATGAATTCGTGAATTTTACGAAAAAGGGTTTTTCAAAAACAAACAAAGGGAAACTCAAAAATCGGGCTTTGTGAGGATCTAGCCCTAAGGGCACTCTATAACTTGAAAACCACCCGGGCTTGTTAGCTCGTGTCCTTATTGTGAAATCCTTGCCCGCGTACAAGGTACTTTTGACCAATAAATTGACTATAACTCATTGGTTTATTGGAGATTTGGAGAGATATTTTAACCATAATCTCCCCTATCCTAGACTAACATTCTCTGAAATTTTGGTTGAAATCGGATGAAAAATAACAGAATTCGTTTCTGAGGGGGGCCCCCCTTAATACGATTGGTAATGGTTAGTTATAGATTTTTAATATATTCTATCGCAATCAAAATTTATCCTTGAATTGAAGTTCTCTTATATATATTTATTAATATGACATTTTTTTGTTATTAATCTAGGTGGTCTTAATATGTTGCCTGTCAAACGTCTAAAGAAAACAGTATATTGTTGCAATAGTAATATAAAACAATATTTAATTTTTACTTTTTTTTTTTTTAGTGGAGTAAAGCAAATCGTGCAAAATTGGAGACATTAGAAAAATATATGAATCCAAGTAAAAATTTTTGTATTTATCGTTCGATTATGAAAGCTGCAATGCACAGAGCAGAAAAACATAATTGGCAACAGGGCATGGTAAAAGTCATTTTTTTTTTTGTAAATAATTTTATGCAAAAAAAAAAATTTATATATGTTTCTTTTCAAGGTTATTATTCCATTTTTAAGCATTTTTTTACGTGATGTTTATTTTATTAAAGTTCGTTCGCCTGATTTAATTATGACAGATGATGGTCAAGAAGAACTTAATCTTAAAGTAAAAATTGATTGATAAGAAAAGGTCATCAACTATTCAATTGTTTTTTCCACTAAAACCTAGTGAATTATAGGTAATCAATCATGCTAATTCCAAATATCAACATGATTTTTTCTGCTAGACTTTTAAAGATTCGATTTTCTCGAAAATCAGCTTTCTATACAAAAAAAATTTTTATGATTCGTCTATTTTCTAAAACACCTTGAGGGGCTGAGGTCTCTCTTCCATTCTAATATTGTTTTTGAGTAAGAGGTGGATTAGAATCTAAGTTTAGGTTAGCATTAATTAAATCTGACAATCACTTTACAATATTGATAGGATTCATGATCACTAAAGTTTCGCACGAAGTGAAATAGTAAGAAAATAATCACTACTAAAACAAATGTAAAATAATTCCTTTCTCTGATAATTATAAACTGATTGTAATAGAAGAACGAAAGGACATATTGTAATAATATGACTTAAAATTATATATGGACAAAATAGAACAAAAACTTTTTTCGTTGGAAACGGTATCGTTTATGATCATGTAATATTTGCGTCAAATGTCATATTCTCACGACTCATGTATTTTAAAATTTCATGCAAAAATTATTGAGTAACGATTATTTCAATATCTGCTGTTATAATTTGAATAGTAAAACTAACCTTTTTTTTTTCTTCATAAACAAAAGAATTGTCGAACATATAAACATGCAAAAATAGACAAAGTATTAGTGAATTAAAAAAAGTAATGAATTTCTAAAAGGGAGGACATTAAAGATAATGCAAGATGTTTCGACTACTAGAAAATAATATCGTATTTTTCATTAGTACATGTATTATTAAGCGTGATACCGAAACCAAAAACAATTGATCCCGCTCATCAATACTTAACACAGATCGAAAGTTGAATTGAACATTTGAAAATAAACCGAATAACATTCAAAATAAAGAGAAAAAAATATATAGAATGTAAATGTTGAAAGAAAAACGTCAGAGATAATTAGAATTAAGCATTTTACTCATTTAGCCCGCCCCCCCCTCTGTAATAGTTCAAATTTTGAAAAAAAAAGAGTTTTTTATACTCAAATCGAGGTGCTCTACAAACTAGACTGATCAAAAAAATTTTTTATTATAGAAAACCGAATCTTTGAAGGTCTAGTAGGAAAAAAAACATGTTGATATTTGAAATCAGCATGGTCGATTACCTGCAATCCATTAGGTTGTGGCTAAAAAGTGATTGAATAGTTGGTGATTTTTTTCTCGCGAATGTTTTTATTTTTAATATAAATTCAACTTTTTTTTTTTTTTTTGTCGTTTAGAAATTTTATATTCTAGCTCGATTTATTTCAGAAGAATTTATTCGATGTAAATCAAGCAAAGTAAGATTTTCAACGAAATAAATTTTAGTTTTTCAATATTAAACAATTTTTTTTTAGTGTTCATTTGCTCGTTATGAAAGCATTATTAATTATGTAGTAACAAGTTCTGTATTTAGTGAAGATTGTATGTATTTAAAAAGATATTATAAATAGAAATATTTAAAATCTATTTTCTAGCTTTAATGGCAGCTAGTTTTGAATGTGAACCACCTGAAACAGAACATGATCGTGATCAACTTCGATCTCTAAAGTAAAAATATTTATTATACAAAAAAAAGAACAAAATTCTTATTGTTTTTTTCTTTTAGAGCTAAATTAGGTTTTTAAATATGTATTAAATTGATGATACATACGAGAAAAAAAATGTTGTTGATAGTAAAAAAAACAACACAATTGATCTATCTCTTTTTTTTATAATCATTGTGACAAACTAAGGAATCTGTGAATTTCATGAAAATATTAATAAGTTTGTTTATATTATTTTATTTTTTTCTTGTATACATTTATGAAAGATTTTATTAAAGAAAAAAAAGAAATAAACTTAATGATTATAATGATCATTGAATTGATTCTATTGTATAATATATAAATCATGTGATGTATTGATAATGACGTAAAAAAGAAAAAAACATGACTATCAGCATACAAATCATCGATTCATGATACATACAGAGAGTGAAATACATGCGCTTATTCAACGAAGTACAAAAAGTCAATAGTGTACTTTTGTATTTGGATTCTTTTTGAGTTATTCAACATACTCAAGTCAAAAAAAAAAAAACTAAAACTTAAACATCTTGTAGATCAGACAAAATTGTGGTCGCTGCATGACGTACATTAAGTCATGGCGTACGATTCTTGCAAGAATCATTGTTTTATGTCAAACATAAAAAAAAACAAGAGTATAAAAAAAGTGATATCAAAGTATAATATTATACAAGAACTTATAAATAACTATTTTTAGGATTATAAAAAAAATGTATTATATAGGAAAGATTAGACAAGAAAGTAAGGAGCATTCGAAAACTCTGATAAAGTGTTGTAAGCTTATATTTGCATACTTATCGACTGAACAATAAATAACGGTATTACTGATAGTTAGAATAGAAAACTTCAAGCAATATTACTAATCATTACTGTCGATTTAGTTTACTATTGTTGAATAATTTGAGAATACCTTTAAGGCTAGATTACAATCACAGGAATATAGTAAGCTGAAAAGAATAGGTTTTTAGTCAGAATAGTACAATATGTTAATCTTTACTTCAAAAATAGAACTATGAAAAATCTTAAATATTGTCCTACATTAGTAATAAGAAATATGTCAAGTGACCTTTGATCTCTAATGACGTGATAAATAAACAAACAAATATTTTTCTTTTGCTTGATACTTTTTCACTACATTCAAATATACTGACAAGTCTCTGTTCTTGTTTAATTTTACATACTTTCACAATTAACAAATGCTGTTTAGCTTCGATAGGGATAACTCATCTTTCACATTTCTTTAAGTGGTAGTTTCAGTCATTATTTATTTCGTTATATAGCTAGTTGTATCATTGGCTGCTTACAAAAAAAATAAGGTGTATTGTAGCTATGTTCAACAACGAAAACTAGAAATCATCTCTAATCTGCAGATCGAATGGTGTATCAGAGTAGAAACTTATCGACTTACTTTGTTTATATATTTAGTTTAATTTCAAAAGATGAAAAAGAAATATTTGATTCAGCATGGTTAATCAACATGAAGAAACAGTTTTTAAAAGTACAATGATTACTGTAATTTCTAGTCTTGTAAATGAAATGGCTGTTTCAATTCAATTAGAAACATTTTGAAAAAGAAATAGTATTTATTGAAAAATCTGACAATCTTCCGTATCATGTAAAAAACAAGTTGAACAAATCAAAAAGAAATTCACAAACCAAAAGTATAAAAGCAAATTTCCACTTATAATCTTCAAAGAAATCAAAATGTTACTTAAACAGCTCCCAAATAGTTCACCAGGATCCGATAATATTCACAACAGAATGCTTAAAAACTATGCAACATTATTGGTGGAAGTTCTAGTCATAATTTTCAACACAATATTAAACATGCACTATATTCCAAAGGCATCGAAGAATACCAATATCATTTTATTATTGAAAGCTAAGAAAGATAAAAAACAACCAGCTAATTATTGACCAATTAGCTTATTCAGCTGTCTTGGAAAACTGCTTGAAAAGATTATAAAACAACGACTTATAGAAAACTTTGACAAAAGAAATATTCGTTCAAAACATCAAGGAGGATTTAGAACTGGTAGGAATACCATGTATAACATCATTCGTCTAGAAAGATGCACATGAACAACTGATGCAATGAAGACATTCGGCAGTTATATTCTTTGATCTTAAAGCTGCTTTCGACTTTCTCAATATTTAATGCGAGTTGACATATCATTGCTTGATCATCGTACAGCTTCAATTAAATTAGAATATGTTTTATCAAAACTATTCATTATCAAAAGTGATATCCTTCACAAGACTCACAACTCTCTTCACTGCTATACATCATATACACATCTGACTCTATGAAGACTATCCATCAACATACGAAATACAGCCTCTTTGCTGATGATACCGTCTTATGGACATCATCAAATACAATTACAAATCTGAAAGGTCGTCTACAAGCATCGATCAATAAATTCCACAACTGGTGCAAAGTATGGAAGCTGACAATCCAGCCCATCAAAACGGAATCGATCTATTTCAGTTCTTATTCACAGAAAAAATATGTACAGCATAGGGAAATTAAAGTTTAATCACAATAATAAAACCACAAACAAAATCACGATATCTAGGTGTTATATTTGATAATAAAATTCAACTGTAGATCTCATATCAAACATATAGAATCTAAATTGGCATCTTGAATAAGTCTTCTATGTTTTCTGTCTTATTCTACTTCAGAATCAAACATCAAAATAATGATCTTATGATATTCTTTTTATTTTTAGCCTATTTTAGGTCAATGTGTACCGGACAGAGGATGTCGGGTGTGGTATGAATATTCTATTCTCTCGCACCTACACTCTATCCCCACATCCTCATAAATAATATATATATATATATTTGTTTATGTATTATTCATTTAAAGAAACTTTTTTAATTTATTGTGATATGTTCATAGAAAAAAATATTTTTTTAAAACATTTTTTTTCTTTATACA